TAGATGGCGAAAACCCTAATTGCATTGGACTATCCTGATTAGGCTTACAGTTTTGGTAGTATTAGTCTTTTTTTTGGGTTATGTAATTTAGGTCGGGTCTATTTGTAGTTGGTTCTTCTGTTCGAGCCTGCAAAAATGTAAATAATATTAATATCAATAATAATAATAATATCCAACATAAAATTATTTCGACTAGCACAAAAATGAGTGTCTACAGACTTCTCAAACATCTTTGCATCTTTATCATTCATGAAATCATTCACTTGCATCATTGACATATTCACATCAAACATTCATCATTCATTGTTTTCCTCTCATGAGGATATTCTCAAATTTTTTTAAGGTCATTTTTCTCCCATGACAATACTTTCAAACTTGTATTTCTCAAGACCATTTTCTCTTTTTCAAGGACAACTTTAAATTTTCAAAGAATCTCATATTTCATAAAGATCATTTTTCCCTATCTTGAGTATATCTTTAAAAAAAATTTCAAGAAAATCTTTTTCTTCCTTAAGATGATTAACTTTAAATATAAATTTTGTTTTACATGAGACAATTTTCCCTCGAAATAAAAATTTTATCTTACTTGAGACAATTTTCCTTGAAACAAAATTAGTCTCACTCGACATAGTTTCTATTGAAACAAAAATTTTATCCAACTTGAGATAGTTTCCCTTAAAAACAATTTTCGGTTCTCACTCGAGACCATTTCTCTTGAAATTGTTTTCTCATTTGAGAAAGTTTTCCTCAAAAACAAATTTTGTCTCACTCAAGACAGTTTTTCTCGAAACAAAAATTGCATCTCAGTTGAGATATTTTCTCTTGAAAATCCCGTCTCACTTGAGACAGTTTTCCCACGTGGCTTAACTCGCAAAGGGGAGTCAACTAAAATTTGACTTAACTCGCAATGGAGGAGTTATCCACAACTTATCTCAACTAGCAACTAGGAGAAAAGTTTCTACATTTTAGGCATACATAAGAGCATTGCATTCATAACATTATAAGCATGTATACAATTTTGCAAATTTTTTAGTCAATTTCACAATGAAAGATATTGAGCTCAAAAGATGCATAAGATTAACTTAACTTGTGTAGAAGGAGTCATCCGCAACATAGCTTAACTCAACAACGAAGAGCTATTTTCCAACCAAGGTCTTCAAGTCAAATTTCAACTTCATGACGAAGGATTTTGGACTAGAAAAAGATCCAAGATCGACTGCGATTTAGTTTTACTCAATGACGATAATCTACTTCCCAGCCCATATTTCTAGTAAGATTTCAACTTCAAGATGAAGGATATTGAGCTTGAAACACTATCAGATTGACTTAACTCGCAATGGAGGAGTCTTCTATAACATAGCTTAACTTAACAAGGAGGAGCTATTTTTCGACTAGTTTTGAGTCAGATTTCAACTTCAAGATGAAGGATATCAGGCTCGAAGAACATTCATCCTTGACTTAACTCACAAAGGAGGAGTCACCAACACTATAACTTAACTCAACAATGGAGACTTTTATTCCTATCAACTTCATCCACAAAGGGTCAATAGACTTTTGAGTCGAATTTCAGCTCCACGATGGATGATATTTGACTTAAAGAACAATTACTTACAAATTTGTGTTAGATCTTAACTTCACAATGAAGGATATTGGATGGAAGAAAATCAAACTTTAACTCAACATCACCACCTCGAGCAGAAGAATCAATCTTTATCAACTTAAATATTCATAGACACATTAACCAATGATTATGATGAATTTTATAGATTCAAGTTCTTTGGGACCTGATAACTTTGTAAAAAGACTATGTTTTCTATTTTTTTACTTAAGTTATTTTGTGTCAAAAAGACGTTGTCATGGCATTTTAGTTGCATTTAGGTCATATTTGCATGTGGTGGATAAGTTTTGCCTAGGCAAGATTTATCTGGCTTAACTGATACTGCTGATGAGGAAGGTACTTTGTTGGTTGTGTTGATGCAGGAAATAACTAAGGGGTAAATTATTTTTTGAGAAAAAACAATTTCCCAGGGCTAGAGGAACATAAGAAGACGACAATGAGAACAAATTTTTATTGCTGAGGTAAGATTTATCTAGTAGATCTGACGTGGCTCAACAACTGTTAACGTCATTTGCCCAGTTCATCCTCACTTGCAATCACACCCTCATCAAGGAAATTGACCACTTCTAGCCACTATGACATTCATAAAATGGGTAAGTCAACAAGGGTATTTAGGGAATTTTTAAGGACACAAAACCCTATAAATTCCTACTATAAATACCTTATTATAGTTGCCAAAAAAAGAGACAACCAATGAGAGGATTTACCCTAGGTTTGGAGTAAGTAGCTGCAATATTTTATTTTATACCATTCCACCACTCAATCGTCCTTGGTGCCCTCCATAGTCGGGCTTTGCCAGAGCAGTGGCTAGGCCCTCGAGAGAGACTGGCCGCTGAAGCAGGTGTGGTAGTGGTTAGAATGTCATGGCAAAGCTCTGTTTAGGAGTGTTTCATCCTTTGTTCTTAATTTCCAATTCGCTTAAAGGGATTGTACTAAATGTTTCACTTTTGGGTGATATTTTCCACACCATGAACTGGTTTACATAGTATTGGTTATTGTTTTGATGAAACGTTATTTGGATGTTATTGAATAAAGAAGTTTTCTTATGCTTAATGTTGTTTTCTTCATTGTTTTAATATTTTTCCTTAAAACTATAAGAGCTTTTGAGAGATTGCTTGGTGCCTCAGCAAAACATTCCTAGACTTTGTAAGAGCTTTCGAGAGATTGTCATTCCTCTAGGAGTAAATGCATAATATCGAGAGAGTTAGGGAAGATCTACGTGAACAATAGGACTGATCCAGGATGGTGAGGTTTTAATCTTCCTTAGAGATAAGGAGAGGGTTTAATTCGACTAAAAGGGGTAACTATTTGAGTAGGATAGGAAACAACTATAGTTTAGGCGAAGGGGTATTTCCACAGCAACAGTTTGAGATACCAAGGGTTGTAGTTCACGCCGAGTAGTATTATTGCAGTAACCATTCTTGAATACTCCAGTAATCCCATCGGCCAACCTAAGAATAGCACACTTAGTCATTCTAGACATATAATAACTTCTCGCCATAGCAAAACCAACTTAAGTGCTCTATAAGAAGTCTGATTGTGTGAGGTTTTTCTGAATATATTGAACTCAACATTTTTATTTGCCTTGACAATTTTTATTTGTTTACTCTTGCAAATTTTCCTTGCCTCAAACAAAACTTTTCTCACAACATTTCTTACCTAGACAATACTTTTCCATTTGTTTATATCCTCTGATACTAATTGTTTTCTATTTTGACAATAATTTCAGGAATAGCTCGTGACATCTAGTTCTAGCTATAGCAAAACATCAATAATTCCCACCAATCCCTGAGGAGGCGATAACTCTACTTACTACTATATTACTTGCATCGATTGTGTATACTTACAGAGTTTTGCTTGCCTTAGCATATACATTCATAAGCGATCAAGTTTTTGGCACCGTCGCTGGGGATTGGCAAGTATAGGAATTTTGATAATTTCAACCATAGTAAATTTGTATTTTCTTGTCACATTTTCTTTATTTAGTTTAACCCATTTATTTTCTTATTTTATTTTGAAGGTTTTTGTCATTGTATGACGCTGAGATATATTGGTGAACCATTAGAACCATTCGACCCTGAGTTCGAATAGTCATTTAAACAAAGTCGACGTAATCAGTGTGCCATGGATTACATGAATCGACTATAGTATCAAGATGAAAATAAAATGGAAGATCATGCAGATCCTGATGTTGTGGAAAATAATCTTCCCAGAATTGCTACAAGACCACAAGCAATACGAGATCACTTAAACCTGATTTTTAACGATCTCAACCCTTGAATCGCGGGACCTAAAATACAAGCATCCCATTTTGAACTTAAATTGGTGATGTTCAACATGCTAATCTCCATCAGTCAATTTGGTGGCTTACATAATGAGGATGTTAGACAACATGTCCATGCTTTCCTTAAAGTGTGCGATTCGTTCAGGCAACTAGGAGTGCATAAAGATGTGTTGAAGCTTAAATTGTTCCTCTACTCTCTACGTGACCGAGAAAGAACTTGGCTTAGTGGAGTCCCTTCTAGATCAATGAAATCTTGGGATAACTTATGCAAAAGTTTTCTGCTCTACAACGATCTGCCCAATATGCACACCCAGCTCCGCAATGACATTTCAAGTTTTTGCCAAGGCGATGATGAATCTATGTAAGAGTGCTGGGACAAATATAAAATCTTGATTCGCAAGTTCACTAACCACGAATTCCACTATTGGACTCAAGTCGTGATGTTTTACAGTAGTGTCAATGCACATACTCGTATGATGTTGGATGCGTAAGCAAATGGTACTTTGCTCGATAAATCACCTGAGGAAGCCTTTGATATCCTCGATCAGATATCCAATAATGACTATCAATTCCCATCTACAAGGCTTGGAACCAGTAAGAGAATATCTAGGGCGTATGAAATTGATAGTAAAGATTCATTTTCTGCCCAAATTTCTTCTATAACTAACATGCTGAAAAATTTGCAGCGTTCTAGTGTGGTGAAAGAAGTCAAGGGAACTAACTCAGCATATATTTTCTACCGAGGAAATCATCATGAGAGTGAATGCCCAAAAAACCAAGAGTTCATCAATTTTGTGGGAAACTTCAATAAAATCAACAAAAACATCCCCTACTCCAATACATACAATCCTGGTTGGCGACAACGTCTAAATTTTTCGTGGGGTACTCAAGGAAATAACAATAACAATTATGCAGGTAATTTTAACAGGATGCAACAAAACATTTATGAACTCTCAATTTTGCAACATCAACAAATGTCATGGCAAGGTAATAATAAAAGTAATGCATATTCTTCAAATTCTAACTCCCTCGAAGCTTCACTGCAGGAATTTATTGTCTAGACAAAATATTTCTTGGCTTCAACAAAAACCTTGATACATGAACAATCATGAATCAAGGAAATCTGTTGCAAAGCAAGAAACTATATTACAAAGCCATAGCTCATCATTGAGGGTATTGGAGAGCGAAGTCGGACAAATTGCCACGTCAGTACATTCTCACCCACAAGGGAGTTTCCCTAGTGACACTCAGGTCACTAAGCCTCATGGAATGGAGCAATGTTGTTCGCTCACATTGAGGAGTGGTACTCAGATTAATCTTGAGAATGAGTTTAGGGGGAGCAACCAGAAAATTTTAGCCAAGGCACCACACATGAAGAACATGAGTATCAAACTGATATTGTTAAACAAGCAGAACTAGCTAAGGAGAATAAAAGGAACAAGGGTTCAACAAGTTATCGCACTAATGGTTAAAAATTATTTGCCAAGGAAAAAGTTTCTTCAACACCTGTAGTGAATGAAGTTAGACCTCCACCATTTTTCCCTCAACGGTTGAAGAAGCATAATGACGAGATACAATTCAGAAATTTTGTTGATATCCTTAATCAGCAGCATATCAATGTTCCATTACTTGAAGCCATTGAGCAGATACCTTCCTATGCCAAATTTTTGAAGGACATTATCACAAAGAAGAGAAATGTGAAAAGAATAGAAAGTGTTGCCACTACAACAAAATATTGTTTAGCCATGAGTAATCTTCCACCGAAGAAAAAAGATCCTGACATCTTTGTTATACCATGTTCCATCGGTGATAGATATGTTGGAAGAGCTCTTTGTGACTTGGGGTCAAAAGTAAATCTGAGGCCCAAGTCTATATTTTTTAAGCTTGGAATGGGTAATGCTCGACCATCCACTGTGATTTTACAACTAACTGACTGGTCACAAGTTTGTCCCGAGGGTAGAATTGAAGATGTGATTGTTAAAGTTCACAAGTTTCTCTTTCCAGCTGATTTCCTCATTCCATATTGTGAAACCGATCAAAATGCACCTATTATTCTTGGACGGCCATTATTAGCTATGGGGCGTATTATAATAGATTGTGAAAAAGGAGGGTTCACGATGAGGGTGGTTGATCAAAGTTCCATGATCAAAGTCTTCAACACTCTTAAATACGTTGATGATTATGAAGAATGCCATTACATTGGAGACGTTGACTCATTAGAGGAAGCTGGAACATAAAATTCAGGTTAAGGAAAATTTTTACATCCTGATGAGTATGATAAATTTTTCCAAGACAAAATTCTCTGGAATGAAGAGTGTAATTTTTTTTGCCAATATGTTGTTTTACAATCTGAGGAACACAATAGTTGTTACCAAGGCAAAATTTTTCTAAATGTTTCATACAAAAATATTTGCCTATGAAAAAGTTTATTGATTGAAGAAGATGAAAGACATACTGAAGGCGGAGCAAGCATGGAGTCTGAGGACAATTCATTGGAGGAAGAACAGTCTAGTTTACTTCAAGCTAGACCAGGAATGAGATTCAAACCCCTTGATTTCAATGAATTTATTCCTCCAAAATTTCAGTACAACATGCACCTACCTTAGAACTTAAACCGTTGCCATCACATTTAAAATACACTTATTTAGGTAGTGATGAAACTTTACCAGTTATAATTTCTGCTAGTCTAACCATCGAGCAATAGGGAAGTTTGTCGAATATTTTGTCACAGCACAAAAAATATCTCGGATGGACTATGGCAGACTTAAAGGGAATCAATCCTATAATATGCATGCATAAGATCCAGTTATAAGATAGCCATAGCAATTCTGTGGAACCACAAAGGAGACTTAACCTGATAATGAAAAATGTGGTGATGAAGGAAATCATAAAATGGCTTGATGGTGGAGTGATCTAACCCATATCCGATAGTTCATGGGTCAGTCCAATTCAATGTGTGCCCAATAAGGGTGGCGTGATCGTGGTTAAGAATAAGAATGATGAGCTTTTGACTACAAGAACTATCACGAGCTGGTGGATATGGATGGATTATAGGAAGCTCAACAAGGCAATGAAGAAAGACCACTTCCCCCTCCATTTCATCGATCAAATGCTTGATCGGTTAGCAGAAAGGTATTTTATTGTTTCATTGATGGATATTTTTGGATACAATCATATCGCCATAGCAACTGAAGATCAAGAGAAGGCCATATTCACCTGCCCGTATGGTACCTATGCCTTTAGAAGAATATCGTTCGGACTATGTAATGCTCCGGAAACTTTTCAGATATGTATATTGGCCATTTTCTCAGATATGTTAGAGGACTTCATGGAAATATTTATGGATATTATTATTATAAGAATTCGATTTAGAGGTAAAGGATATGAAGGTATTGAAAACCAAGCAGCAAATCACTTGTCTAGGCTAGAAAATAAAAACATTTTCCATGACATGAAGGATATTCAAAAGGATTTCCCTGACAAGAAAATTTTATTTACCACAGTTGTACCGTGGTACGTTGACATAGTTAACTTTCTTGTTAGTGATGTTATGCCTCTAGATTTATCTAGCCAGGGTATAAAAAGATTCATACATGATGTACGTCACTATTACTGGGACGAACAATTCCTATTCAAGCAGTGTGAAGACAAAATCATCCGACGATATGTCCCTGAAGAAGAACACAATGAGATCCTATTTCATTGCCATACATCCCCGTGTGGAGGGCACTTTGGGATGAGGACTGCTGCAAAGGTCCTCCAATCTGGCTTATACTGGCCCACTTTATTCAAGGATAAGAATGCCTTATATAAGTCATGTGATCATTGTCAGTGCACTGGGAGCATATCGAAGAGAAATGAGATGCCATGGCAAAATATTTTGGAAGTGGCGCTCTCCAATGTATGGGGGATAGATTTTATGGGACCTTTCCCCTCATCCTTTGGTGATCTGTACATACTCTTGGCGGTAGACTATGTTTCCAAATGGGTTGAAGTTGTGGCCACACCTCATAATGACTCTAAGACTGTGTTGAAATTCTTGCACAAAAACATATTCACACGTTTTGGAGAACCACGAGCAATTATCAGCAATGAAGGTACTCACTTCGATAAAAAATTAATTGCCAAGTCATTGAAAAGATATGGGGTGCGCCACATAATTGCTACGGCATACCATCCCCAGACTAATGGGTAGGTTAAACTTCTAATCGTGAGATCAAATAGATTCTTGAGAAAGTTGTCAACCCCAAACACAAATATTGGTCACCGAAGCTCGATGAGGCACTGTGGACCTACCGAACAACATTCAAAATGCCACTCGGAATGTCACCGTTTAAGCTAGTATATGAAAAGGTGTGCCATTTGCCTGTGGAATTGGAACGTAAAGCATTTTAGGCCATCAAAAAAACTAAATATGGATGCACAACTTGTTGGAAAAAGAAATTTTTGGAACTGAATGAAATGGATGAATTTAGAGCTCAGGCATATGAAAATACCTGCCTTTAGAAGGAAAAGACGAAAAGATGGCATGATAGAAAAATTTTGCCTAGGAAAATTTTACATGGACAACAAGTATTGCTCTATAACTCACGACTCTAGCTATTTCCAGGCAAGCTGAAATCTAGATCATCATAACCATTCATCGTACATCAAGTCCATGGCCACGGCACAGTAGAAATAAAGAATGTGGATGATGAGTCAACCTTTAAGGTGAATGGTCAACGACTAAAGTGTACAATGGAGCACCCATCCTGGGTGACAAATCGGCATTGTTACATCACGTTGTCCAAGAGTTTGCCCTTTTTTCCTGAACAAATTTGGTTGCCTAGGCAACAAAATTTTGCACTTTGTATATAAATAATCTATTTTTATTTTATTTTGTACTAGTTATTTACTTATATTTTATTCTCTATTTTTGTTCTTTTTGTAGCAAGGGTACACATGACAGCTTAGGGATGAAGTTTATGTATGGGAGGGAAATAAACCCATAATAATTTGTTTCGGCGACACTTTTAAGGGGGAAAAATATTTTCCCATTATTTTATTAATTTTTTAGTCAAATCACATATCTCCCTAATTAATACCATATCTCTTTTCCATTTTACCTTTTACCATTTTACCCCCAAGAAACCACCCATTATTTTTCTCCAAAACCGCCTACTTCCTTGTTCTCCTCACCGTTTACTCTTTTTAAACTTCTTCTTCAACCTTTCTTTTATTTGATTATGCATATTTTACCAAGAACCCTCCATTACATCCATGAGAATCCTCTGTTCTTTCCCTAAATCTGTCAAAGAAAACATCATGGCCCAATCCAAGATGAATCTAGACGCTTCTATATCCTCTTTCGCAGCTTCAGGATTTGAGTGCTTCCAAATCGCTGAGGCTGAGGAAAAATACAAAACCCTTCAGAAATGGCAAGTATATTTGGAGGACGAATTTTTCTTCCTGGAGGCTACGAAGAACCCTTTCGACCGGAGGTAATGGACATCGTATAGAAGCATAAATGAGATAAATTCACCCGGTATCCAAAGGTTGTGGCACCAACAATGGTCCAAGAGTTTTACGCCCACTTAGCCGACTCATCCCAACACATTGTGTATGTTAGAGGGAAATCCATCTGGTCCACTCCCTCGGCCTTAAACCGCTACTTCAAGCTCAGCAAGGTGGAGGATCAACATAAAAAATTTATTGCCGAGGAAGATCAAGAGACGTATGATGGTGTGCTAGAGGATTTGTGTTTTGGCTGGGCGAAATTTGAAGGGAATGCACCCAACTGAAAGCTTGTGAACCACCAAGCCCTTAATCCAGTAACCAAGCTGTGGAATCATGTTTTGAAAGGCAAGCTGATGCTTACTTAACAGGACACAACAATGTTGGTGAGGAGATTGATGTTACTGTACTCTGTCATCTACCGGAGCTCGATTGATGTAGACGAGATAATTTTTGAGTAGATTCACAAGTGTGGGATAAGGACCTGAGGAAACATTATTTTTCCCAATTTGATAACCGCTTTGTGCAAGAAGAAAAAAGTACTTGTGAAGCCTTTCGAGGACTTTATCAAGTTGAAGGAAAGCATCACTAAAAAGAAAGTGCTCGAACTTTTGAGTTTTGATAGCAACGCTCCACACGAGGGCTTAGAGCGAGGAGAAAAATCGATTATCGTGGTAAGAATGGCAGTCGTGGTCATGTCCACTTGGAAGACACGATAGCGATTGGAGTGTCTAGAAAGTCACTTGCAGAACTTTTTCAACTATGTTAAGGCTCAGGATGCACAAATGAATGCTTTCTTTAAAGAGTTGCTCCTGATTACCAATGAGGATCTGTCGCCTTTTCCAAATGAAATCATGCGACAATCAGTCCCTCTAGGTGGTAGTACATTTCATGTCTCAGCACAAAATGTTACACCCGAGTCCCCTATGGATGTCATTCCTTTTTCCATGAATGTCTCTTTGATACACGAAGAATACCATGGCGAGATAGATGAATATCTCATATCCTCCTTCTCTTATTCTGATAACACTCAAGAAATCCCGCCAGAATTCTTTGATGTTGATGATTTCATCTCAGTCCCTGACCAGCCTACTCCAAAACAAGTATCTAAACAACCCCGTTACCTCAATAAACCAACTCATGACCCTGAAACAAGCCAATCTCAAGATATCCCTGTTGATCCCACCTACACTGAGGATATGCCATCACCGGCTAGTCCCCCGAGTATGTGGCTTCACACCAAGCGAACAACTAGTCGTCTTGCTAGGCCATTTGCTTCTTCACTTCCTTCAGGAGATACTGGATCCGAAAGCCCCCTGCCTCTCAAAGGACGCATAACTCACGTGTCTAGTTAAGCCTCTCCACCACAATGAGGTAATATTTCTTTCATTTGCATTTACATTAGTATTTTAGAGTATTTTCATTACATTCGTATTCATGCATTAAGGACAATATATCCCTCAAGTTTGGGGGATGTGTTGTACTCCATACTTAGTTTTTACATTTTTGATAATAATTGGTTGAAATATTTCTTATCATGGCATGAGTTTTATTAGGATAGATGTTGGAAAAAGTTAATGATGCCCGATAATGAAAGAAAATTTTATTGCCTAGGCCAGAATTATTTTACATGAAAGTTGAAGGCTAGAACCGACCTTAGGACTTGATTATTTATAACTCTTTGAACAAGGTTGTATGTTTTCTCTCCTTAAGGTGCTTAGAAATTTTTTAAGAAATAACTTTT